ATATTCTTGTTGTGTTTTTGTGTTACTATTTTCAGGCTGATGATATCAGAGCTTTGCTGATAGATGCCATGCCTCCAGAGGCCTTACCTACCTGTTTTAAGCCTCAGGCCACTGTAGTGAGTGCCTCTCTGATCTCACCAGCATCCACCCCATCCTGCCTGTCCGCCGCGAGCAGCATAGATAACCTCACGGGCCCGTTAGCGGATTTGGCGGTAGGAGGAGCGTCCAACACGGGGGATGGCGCAGCGGGTGCAGAAAGGAAGGAAGGAGAAGGCGAGTATACTTGTGAATGTTTATTTGGTTTTTGGCTTTTGAATGAACAAATTCACTTTATTCTATTGGTGATTATTAGACACCTCACTTGAAAACATCCAGTCTGTAGGTTTTCATATACACAACAGTTTATAAGAAATACATCTTCATAGAATAAATTCTTTGGCATCTATGTTCTTCTTACACGTATTCCAGTGTGTCAACTTCCAACTATAGTATCTTAGTGAAGTACTGAGTGAGTCGTATTACTGAAATTATATTTTTTTAAAAACTTATTTAAGAAATGAAAACTGAAAGAATAGGTGGAAGTTTGGATTTAAATCCAACTTAAATATTTCATTAAAGGCATTAGATTATGCCTTATCATGTTAAAATTATATACATAAATACTCCTGATGAAAAAAAGATAAACTCTGCCTTCACTTCTCCACCAAATCCAGACATAACTTGAAAAGTCTGTAAAATCATCTGTACAGCCAGAGGTATCAGAGAGCCATAGCTTTAAATAAATACTGTTATTTCCTTTAGATAGGTCAACTTCTCTCTGAGAACTTTAAAATATGTCTGTTTTAGTTACGGGTCTTGACATGAATATCAGCCAGTTCCTAAAAAGCCTTGGTCTTGAACACCTTCGGGACATCTTTGAAACAGAACAGGTAAGCTCTCGTATATAGTTGACTTTTTATTAAATATTAAGAATCATTAATTGCCACTCATTTCTTTTTTGCTTAATGATCATTTTAAAACTCACAACAAATTTCTAAAGAAGACAGGGAAATCTAGTATTTTGTATTTCTCCCCAAATTGTCTAACAGATGATGGGAATCTTTGTTATATTGTTAGATCTTTCTAAGCAATCTTGCTTTCTATGTTTTATTACATGTCAAAATTCAGGCCACAAAACCACCTCAAAAAAATGTTTCCAAAATCCTCCTTCATTATTTGTTTCCAAAAAGTGTTGGCAACTTATCTCATTTAATAACTGATGTAACTAGTCTCCACTTAAAACCAATGAGAAATTTTTATAGTAACTTAGCAAAATCTTCACAAAACATTTGTCCATTAAATAGGAAAGCAAAGTAATTCTTGGACAAGTGTACCTTATTTAAATTGCCGCTTTGTCAAGCTTCCATTGTCAAGTTGGAGTCTAAAATAATATTGAACCAAAACTTGGTGAGACACTTATAGATCCA